ATTAGGGGTTTGACATAATATATCCATACCCTAGTAATGTGATTGAGAGTATTGTTTTAGAGAAGGATCAAATTACATTGTAATTCCAACTGAATAGGTTCTCCGAACAACTTCTACATTAGCTTGGGTAGCTATGACATATGGTTAGATGTCACTCATAGCTTGTGAGTTCTTCTAGATGATTAAATGTAGTCATCAAAGAAGAAAGGTGAATTAAAATGAAGTTTTAATTCACTAAGTGATTGGATTAAATATAATCAATTTGATTGATGTCAATCACCTCACTGCCTTGCTAATTAGAACCTAAAATGATTGTACACCGATACACTCTTGTAGTGAGTAATTAATGGATGATGGAAATAATTAATTGGATTAATTAAGTGTTGTGATTAATTTAGAAAGTCTAAAGAAATCATAAAAGCGATAAAAGATCGTTTTGGGCTTAAAGAAACGTTCGGGTTTAATTGGGCCCATTGGGCCTAAACCCATTGGGCTTTTATTCTTGCATAGGATGACTTGAAATAATAAAAGCCCAAAGCCCAAACCAAACACTAAAGGGCCGGCCACTTAAAGGGTTTGGGAGAGATATTTAGTCAAGTTGTTGACTAGGTTTCTTTTTGTCTATATAAGAAACTTTATAGCACAAAGTTCATTAGGGTTTTTTGTGTGTTTTTGAACAACAAAGAGGCAAAAGAAAATAGCTCTCTAAAACCACAAAGGCCGGCCACCTAGAGGGTGAATTAACTAACAATCTTTCACCCTTTTGGTTATTCCTCCATCCATCTCACTACACTAGTGGGTGTGGATCTTTAGAGGTCTTCTCCTTTGGAGACTAAAGGAGAACCTTGGAGCACTCTTACTAACAAAGTGGAGGAGGCAAGGAGGGAGGCTAGACTCAAGGACTTCAAGGAACAAAGGGCTTGGAGGTGGTCCATCCTTGATCTCAAGTCTAGATCAAGAGGTATAAGTCTAAACTTTCACTTTGTTCTTTACTAAAATGTTTTGATGCATTATATATAAACCTATGAACCTTGAAGGGGATTTGCATGACTATAGCTTTGATAATTTGTGTTAAATGCTTCCGCTGCTTTCGTATATAAAATTTGATTTGTATATGCATGATAGTCATTTCGAAATCCCTATGTGTAAAACTTATAATTTTCCCTTCATCCATAGCACTATTTCACATATATACATCAAGTACTAATTCATATATTTCATATAATATGTATGCATGGCATTTTGAAACATACTTTCATTTAAATTCAATTTATGGGAAAAATCAGTAGTATATAGGTATAAACAGAAAATAACTGCCCACTCACTGGTAAGTCGAAGGGTCGTAACCCCTGTGACGCCCTTGAATGCGCTCGTCCTCGTGATAGGTCTCACCTATATGCGAAATAACTATAAAAATGTTAATTTAAAGCACATAACCAACAATACGTAATAACTTCTCATACGATGCTCAATTTGGGTATATGAATATACCACAATGACCTACTCGACGTCACGGACGTCGAGATATTTTTAGAAAAAATTTTCAACGCCGCACGCACCCCCACGCGTCGGGATAGGCACGGTGCTACGCGCCCCTACGCGCGTCATCCTTTACATCTAGACGCCGGACTGGTTTCGCCGGCGACGGAAAAGTCGTCAGTTTCTGGGTTATTTTCAAATTGCCATAACTCACTCATTTCACTATTTTCAACGCTCTTTATATCAAAATGAAGATCTCGACGAGATAAACAAATCCATACCTGTTTCGACCTCTAACTCGCCGGGGATTCACTGGAAAAAGCCTTGAAAGTTCCGGCCAAATTTGAAAAGCTTCGTTCTCAGTCCTCCGACATCTAAATTCTACCAACGAAACACCCCGAAGCTCGTGAGAACCTCCTTGAGCTTGCTATGTTCCTAAAATTCACAAAAACTTAAGGGTTTAAAAGTTCATGAATAGTGACCAATTCAGGGATTAGAAAAACTAGGGATCCTTACGTCAAATTCCTTCGATTCTTCTTCTCTAAGCTTCCTTAGAACCTCACTAGGCTTCCTAAGAGCTTCAAATTCCCTGAAACAACCATATTTACGTCCACATGAACAGTATTCCAAACTGGGGGGTTCGGATTTCATGAGTTTTCGAAGGTTGTAGGTTCCAAAAATGGTACCAATAAACTCATAAGATTGCAAGGATTCTAAAACTTACCTTTTTAGTCTCGATCTGTGAAGAAATGGGCAAGTTTCACCTTTGTCCGTACGTGCACAGTGCACGGGAAGAAGAAACCGAGAGGGGAGAAAGAGAGGAAGTCCACGGGGGAGAAAGAGGGATGTACTTTAGGTGATGTGTGGTCCACATTAATCCCTAACCACACAATTGAAAACATAACCTAAGTTCCAAATTAAATTTTCCACAAACTTAGGAAGGACAATATTAACCAAATGTATAAGTCACACACACACTTTAGAAATCTTTAGGGACAATTCCGTCTTTTCACATCAACGATAATGAAATTTCGGGACGGGCTGTGACAGCCTCAGTTTTGAATTTTCTAGATCAAACATCCATGCCTTTTAGTGATTTGATTAAACTTTTTTTTGGTCATAATTTTGGTGCTATATGCACATTATATCGTAACAAATTTCCTATAATCAAACCTTTTGATTACACTCTCCTCCGTTAGAGATAATTGTAAAAACAAGGTTGGTTAGATTCAATTTATTTTCACAATAATGCTATAATTTAGCAAAATTATCTACAATTTAAGATATTTTCTTTCCAAAATAGTTTAAAATATTTTTAAATCCCACAAAATCAAACGTACTGAAATAAGTTTTTCTTTTAGTACGTTAAGAGAAAATAGGATTGAGAATAATATAAACGTAACAATACACAATGTGTACAAAATAAAACATACCAAAATAAAAATAATGTACCAATATTAACAATATGTATCAAATCAAACATATCAAAATTGCAAATAAACGTACCAATTAATGATTTTTGTAAATTCAAACGTACCCGCAGATAATATATATACGTAATGTATTGTATCTAATAATAATTCGTCAACAACTATACTTAAAAAAAACAGCAAAAAAAATATAATTTCAAAAAAAAATTGAAAATATTACACGGAGCTTTTATGTTGATCACCAACTATTTGAAAAAAAAAACATTTGGAAAAAGAAATAATAGTAAATGTTTGCATAACGAAAAAAAAACTGTGATAAAAAAACATATCTGGAAGAAGAGAAATATAGTTTAATTACTAATATCTCCACTAAATAAAGAAAAGTGCTTCATGCAGGTAAAAGGATAAATTTAAAAATTATTTTAATTTAAAAAAAATATAATAATGACATGTAATTGAGCTTGAGGTGGCTATTGGTCAAAACACTTTAATCAATTTTTAAAAAGGCACAGATGTTTAATCTAAATGATATAGAAAAACTGTAGGGGATTCTAATTTTCTCTAAAATAAATTAATAACTGAGAAAGTGAAGAAAACAAATCCTTACACATTCTAACTTTGCTACAATGGTATCATAAAAATAACCCGTGTCAGTACAACTAAATTGTTGAAATATGCTTATTCGTTATTAACAAAGTTGAAAGAGACTGCAATATGCCATATGGCTTCAGCAAATGCTGCAAATCAAAAGCTCTTGACCTCACCACGCATGTATGAAATTAGTGCATATAATTGAAGTATATATGAATTGTATTTTTAGCATTTGAAATATATTGGTTCTTCATTATGACCTATGTGAGACATATATGCTTTAGAAATTTTAATTTTCCTGTTTTATTAGAACTTATAACCAAAAGATTGTTATGTTGTGATTGTACATAGTTATTAAGGCCAAATGATATAACTAATCAACGTGGTTGAAGACAACTATTGTAGAGACCCAAAGAGGAAAAACTGTGTGCAGGTGCAAGTGCATATAAACAAATGAGAAAGAACTGTTGGAAATATATCCTTGCACCATGAAAAAAAAAACTGTCAAGTTGTGGATAACTTCTGTTACTTTTTGGATAATTAACTGTGTTGAGCTCTTATTTTTTTTCCTTTGTTTTCCTTTTTTTTTCTTTCCTCTTCAGAACTGTGTTGAGCTTATGAATTCATCTTTATGAAATGAATTTACTCACGTCTTTATCATATTTGTTTACTTTTTTGTGGACTTCTATTCGAATTGAAAACCTTCTGGAGTTCTCTTCCCCAAATTTCACTAGCAACTTTGCTGCAGATCTTTCCAATTGAAAAACCCCACATCATCATCATCTATTCCTCATAGCTTCTGTATAGACATCGACAAGCGAACATCACCACTTTCTCTTCTTCCTCAGGTAAAAGTCAACGACTTTCTCTTTCCGAATGCCATTTTATTTCACTTTCTCAAACAATTATTCATTCATTATATCGTATTCACTCTTTCTTCCTCTGCAGTCATTAATGCTGGAGTAGCTGGATGTAGCACTGGTCTGTTGAATGGTAATCTTGCTTCTAGAAAAGTGGCCGGTGCATGCATTAAAAATGCTAGACAATTCTAGCATGAGAATGGCATGTGTTCATTGTGTCCATAAGCAAAGTCCATGGTGGTGGGCTACTTTAGTAGAGTCATGAATAATGGCTAGGATGATTTCACACTTGGTATTCACACTTGGTATGGTTGGTTATACTTGCCTATAAATAGAGTATGTTGTTATGTTTAAGAATGACAAGTTAAGAAAAGAGAAAGAAGGAGAAGTAAGAGAGACAAGAAGGCTCTCTACCTAAAAGAAAAGAGAATAAGTAGAAGAAGCATCCATAGCTTCTAAGAGTGTTTTGAGTGATTCCTCTTGTATTAGTTTGTGTGAGAATAAAAGGTTTTGTGTGTTATACCTTGAGTGTTCTTTTTCTCTTGCCTATCAATTTCCGTTGCGTTACATTCTTCTTTGGAGATAAACATCTCCAAAGTAGTGAAGTCTCTTTAAATCCCAACAAAGTGGTATCAGAGCCATGGCGAACAACGTTATGGCTGCCTTCCAAGTTCCAGTGGTCAACAACAACAACTTCGATAATTGGAGTATCAAAATGAAGGCCCTTTTGGGAGCACATGATGTATGGGAAGTTATGGAGAAAGGCTACATCGAGCTAGAAGATGAAGATACTCTAATCCAAGCCCAGAAGGAGAGTTTGAAAGATTCAAGAAAGAGAGACAAGAAGGTTCTCTACTTCATCTACCAAGCATTAGATGACAATGGCTTTGAGAAGGTCTCGAGTGCAACCTCCACCAAGTAAGCATGGGAGAAGCTTCAAACCTCTTACAAAGGAGCCGAACAAGTGAAAAAGGTTTGTCTTCAAGTATTAAGAGGTGAGTTCGAATCTCTACAAATGAAAGGGTCTGAATCAATCTCTGATTATTTCTCAAGAGTCTTAGTCGTTTCTAATCAATTAAAAAGAAACGGTGAAAAGTTAGATGTTAGAATTATGGAAAAAATACTACGCTCGTTAGACCCAAAATTCGAGCACATTGTTGTGACGATTGAAGAAACAAAAGACTTGAAAGAAATCAGTATAGAGCATTTAATGGGCTCGCTACAAGCATATGAAGAGAAACATAAGAACAGGCAAGGGAATGATGAGCAGCTCCTCAAAACGCATGTTCAGCCAAAGAAGAAAGAAGAAACCTTCAACAACGAGAGAAGCCAATACGAAAGAAGTCGTGGCCAAGGTCGCGGACGTGGGCGTGGACATGGACGTGGACGCGGTTGGAACTTCAACAACCATAGCAACTACGAAAGATCAACAAAAGGTGGTGAAAGAGGACGCTCAAACTTGAGGTATGAAAAATCTCAAGTTCAATGTTACAATTGTCAAAAGTTTGGGCATTATGCCTGGGAATGTAGAGCTCCAAGTAACAGACCTGATGAGAAGGTCAATTATGTGAAAGAAGAGAATGGCGTTATGTTACTAGCATGCAAACAATGATGGAGACCAAGACTATACATGGTATCTTGACACCGGCGCCAGCAACCACATGTGCGGAAGAAGAAGCATGTTCGTAGAGCTAAATGAATCGGTGAGTGGCAATGTTTCTTTTGGAAACGAATCCAAAATACCTGTAAAAGGAAAAGGTAACATCCAAATTCCCTTGAAAAATGGGGGTCACCAATTAATTTCAAATGTCTACTACGTGCCCAATATGAAAAGCAATATTTTGAGTTTGGGTCAACTCTTAGAAAAGGGTTATGATATTCACATGAAAAATTATAGCCTTTTTCTTAGAGATGACCAAGGAAGATTAATAGTCAAGGTGAAAATGTCAAAGAATAGGATGTTTCCTATGAATATTCAAAATGATATTGCAAAGTGCCTCAAACATTTTACAAAGACATATCCTGGCTTTGGCATCTTCGCTTTGGGCATCTTAACTTTGGGGGACTGGAGTTATTATCCAAGAAGGAGATGGTGAGAGGCTTACCGTGCATCAGTCACCCTGATCAAGTTTGCGAAGGATGTTTACTTGGGAAACAGTTCAGGAAAAGTTTTCCAAAGGAGTCGACCACAAGAGCCAAGAAGCCACTCGAGCTCATTCATACCGATGTGTGCGGTCCAATAAAACCAAACTCTTTGGGTAAAAATAATTATTTCCTTCTCTTCATTGATGATTTTTCAAGAAAAACCTGGGTATATTTCTTGAAACAGAAATCAGAAGTCTTTGGAGCATTCAAGAAGTTCAAAGCCGCTGTAGAAAATGAGAGTGGTTGCAAGATCAAAGCCATGAGATCTGATCGAGGTGGAGAATTCACTTCGAAGAAATTTCAAGAATTCTGTGAAGAACATGGAATTCGTCGACCTTTGATAGTTCCAAGATCCCCTCAACAAAACGGTGTGGCAGAAAGAAAAAATCGAACTGTTCTCGACATGGTTCGAAGCATGCTCAAAAGCAAAAGATTGCCTAAGGGGATGTGGGCAGAAGCTGTAGCATGTGCTGTCTACTTATCAAATCGGTCTCCAACAAGAAGTGTGTGGGGAAAGACTCCGCAAGAAGCATGGAGTGGAAGAAAGCTAGGTATCTCTCATCTAAGAGTTTTTGGAAGTATAGCCCATGTACATGTATCAGACGAGAAGAGAACCAAACTCGACGACAAAAGTGAGAAGTTCATCTTTATCGGCTATGACTCAAATTCAAAAGGTTATAAGTTGTATAATCCAAACAATGGGAAGACAGTGATCAGTCGAGACGTGACGTTTGATGAAGAAGGAGAATGGGATTTTGGCCCACATGCAGGTGATCTTCACTTCTTTCCTCAATTCGAAGAATAGAATGAACAAAGGATGATGGAGCAAGTAAGAGAGGTTCAACAAGAATCCACTACTTCACCTGCTTCACCAACATCAACCAATCATGGCAATTCACCAGCATCAACATCGTCAAGTAGGAGTCTAAATGAAAGAGAAGTACCACGCACAAGAAATCTACGAGATCTCTATGAGGTAGCTGAAAGACTTGATAATCCTACACTTTTCTGTCTCTTTGCTGATTGTGAACCAGTTGACTTCCAAGAAGCAGTGCAAGATACTAAGTGGAGGGAAGCAATGGATGACGAAATCGAAGCAATCCAGAAAAATGATACATGGGAACTCGCTATTCTTTCGAAAGGACACAAAGCCATCGGAGTTAAGTGGGTGTACAAGATGAAGAAAAATGCCAATGGAAAGGTCGAAAGATACAAAGCGAGACTAGTGGCGAAAGGTTATAGTCAAAGAGCTGGAATCGACTATGATGAGGTATTTGAACCTGTTGCTCGTTTGGAAACTATAAGATTACTAATTTCTTTGGCAGCTCAAAACAAATGGAAGATTCAACAAATGGATGTGAAGTTCGCCTTCCTAAATGGTGTGCTTGAAGAAGAAGTCTACATTCAACAACCATCAGGCTATGAAATCAAAGGGCATGAAGACAAAGTTCTGAAGCTGAAGAAAGCCCTTTATGGGTTAAAACAAGCGCCAAGAGCATGGAATAGTCACATTGACAAATACTTCCAGGAGAACAACTTCACCAAGTGCCCTCATGAACATGCTCTCTACGTCAAAATCAAAGATGAAGATATTCTGATTGTGTGCTTATATGTGGATGATCTAATCTTTACCGGAAGTAATCCAAGCATGTTTGAAGAGTTCAAAAGAGTGATGACCAAAGAATTCGAGATGACGGACATTGGGCTAATGGCATACTACCTAGGCATTGAAGTCAAGCAAAATAAAGAAGGCATTTTCATCTCCCAAGAAAGCTACACAAAGGAGATACTGAAAAAATTCAAAATGGACGACTGCAAGCCTATAAGCACGCCAGTGGAATGTGGAGTGAAACTAACCAAGCATGACTAAGGAGAAAGCGTAGATCCAACATTTTTCAAAAGTCTAGTGGGAAGCTTGCACTACTTGACATGCACAAGACCGGACATTTTGTATGTCGTCGGATTAATCAGTCGCTACATGGAGAATCCCACAACTACACACTTGAAGACCGCCAAAAGAATTCTTCGATACCTTAGAGGTACTGTTAACTTTGGCATGTTCTATTCAAATTCTGATAGCTACAAACTTGTTGGATACAGCGACAGTGATTGGGCAGGAGATTCCGATGATAGAAAAAACACTACTGGATTTGTGTTCTTCATGGGAGACACGGCATTCACATGGATGTCGAAGAAGCAACCGATTGTCACACTATCTACCTGTGAAGCTGAATTCGTAGCTGCTACCGCATGTGTTTGTTATGCAATCTGGCTGAGAAACTTGCTGAAAGAATTAAGCATGCCACAAGAAGAACCAACAGAGATTTATGTCGACAATAAGTCTGCAATAGCTCTAGCAAAGAATCCAGTATTCCATGATAGGAGCAAGCACATAGATACCCGCTATCACTACATAAGAGAGTGCATTACAAGAAAGGATGTGCAAGTTGAGTACGTGAAGTCTCAAGACCAAGTTGCAGACATATTCACCAAGCCACTCACACAAGAAGACTTTATCAGACTGAGAAACTCAATCGGCGTCACAAGACAAGATTAAGGGGGGATGTTGAATGGTAATCTTGCTTCTAGAAAAGTGGCCGGTGCATGCATTAAAAATGCTAGACAATTCTAGCATGAGAATGGCATGTGTTCATTGTGTCCATAAGCAAAGTCCATGGTGGTGGGCTACTTTAGTAGAGTCATGAATAATGGCTAGGATGATTTCACACTTGGTATTCACACTTGGTATGGTTGGTTATACTTGCCTATAAATAGAGTATGTTGTTATGTTTAAGAATGACAAGTTAAGAAAAGAGAAAGAAGGAGAAGTAAGAGAGACAAGAAGGCTCTCTACCTAAAAGAAAAGAGAATAAGTAGAAGAAGCATCCATAGCTTCTAAGAGTGTTTTGAGTGATTCCTCTTGTATTAGTTTGTGTGAGAATAAAAGGTTTTGTGTGTTATACCTTGAGTGTTCTTTTTCTCTTGCCTATCAATTTCTGCTGCGTTACATTCTTCTTTGGAGATAAACATCTCAAAGTAGTGAAGTCTCTTTAAATCCTAACATGGTCTTGCTCTTAGTTTTCCAGGTATCCATCGTATTACAGAGTTTGATAATTTATAAATTAGCAATAAACTCATTGACTTTCCTATTAAAATTTAAATTCTTAATATCTATAGAACTCCCGATTTTTGTTTTCTCATTTTTGGATTGTTATTAACGAGCAAGTCTTTTCCTCGCTAATCAATAAAGCAGTTTCTGTACAGTATATTATATCTTTAATTTAGAATACCTTATTTAATCTGCAGGTGCAACCCAGGCTCTTCTACAAAGCTGTCTCACTTTTGGGGCATTCTCATTGTTATTGAAGGCCTAAACAAGCAGCAGCCAGCTTTAACACAACCATTTTCTGTGAGGAAGAAAAGTGAGCAAGTTCGTCCCTTAGTGCTCCCCCTTCAACTTTCACTCTCGGGAGAACTAAAAGTAGGTTTCACCTTCTTTTGCAATTCCTTGAAGAATCGCAAGAAGGGCACTTCTCACCCAGCCTAAGAAAAGGTTGTTTCAGAAAGGCGGCACAGCTTGGACCTCTTTATGAGAATTCAAGGTTTTCACTCGCCAGACAATGATAGGCGAATCACTGCAGCAGTAGTAATTATGCTGCAAACTGAATCCAGGATGACTAACTTGGAGTCTTCATGGTGGTCGCACCTCTCCTCTCTGCTCCTCCTCCAAAACCCCTCTGTAAGTTTCCGAACTTAAATTGTATTTTCTCTCTTTCTGCCCTTTACAAGGGTTTCAGAAAAATAATTATTTTTTTTTACTATAATTTTGGTTTTGATGATAAAATTTGGATTTGCCCATTTGGGGATTTTCCAGTTCAGAACCTAGGAAACAAGTAGCAATTCTGTGGCACTATTGGGGAGATTGTGGACCTCTGTTAAATCACAGTCTAGTGAAGGGATTAGCCCGTCCGACTTTGTGTTTTAGATGAATCCATTTCGGATTGGGAGAAAATTTAAACCCAGAAAAAGTTGGGTTTCCTGGTGAGTTGTCCGGCAGATTTCAGGTGGCTAATTTCGTGATTACAATTAACTTTGCGTCATGACATTGTGGGATGCTATCGAATCTAATTAGCGATTTTTTTTTTATGGTTTTTGTGTGGATGCAGGTCGGCAATGAACAGGTTGATCACATCTTGAGTTTTCCGACTGATTTATTCCATCCTATCGGTTCTGATTCTGTCCCTCCATAACATTTGCAACACCATCTGCCTTACTCATCACAGCTTGGCTTTCAATTCCTCAGGTAAAGTTTCCACCTTTTTTTCTTCAGGAAAATAACAAAGATTCCAAATTTATTGAACTATTTACTGATTTTCTGTTGAGTATCTTCTTAAAATTTTTAATTTAAATTTTTTCAATTGGAATAGGAGGAATGGTGGAATGGTGGATGTGAGAGTTTCTTTACAG